AATTAAATGGTTCGTCTTTTTTGCAAAATCTGATGATCTTATATGGGATTTGGGCAAAGTTGCCAAAGATAACTTTTTTTAAAAAAATGGGAATGGCGTGGTGGTGGTTATGGTGCCTGGAAAAGTTGCTGACCCCTCTGCCCGAAGATGCATAAATGAATACCTGAACAGACAACGGGAAAACATCTTGGACGAACTTAAATAAAAGTCACAATGAAACGTCGCCAACTACTGGAATGGAATTTTGTTTAAACAATATAACTATATCAAACATTATACCAACAACAGGAGTGTCATTCATATACCCAACAGATTGTACTAAACAACCCTCCGCATTTCCCAGAGATCTAAGCAGCGGTTCCTACCTTGCAAACAGTCCTGGGAATCAACTGTCTTGGTAGCACCGAAGAGGCGCGTTGGTGCTAACCAAGTTAAATCTTCACTTTAGGCGGGACCCTCCTCGGAGGAAGCCGCGCCGTAGGCAGAGGAGGAAGCTAAACTGGAAACCTGCCTTCTCAAAGGCTCTGCTTCATTCTGACATCAAAAATTAAATCAACAGCAGGTAGCAGTTCTATTTTGACATAGCAGACCTCGCTTGGAAACCAAATCGCGTCCTGCACATCACGGAGGTAACCAAGGAACTCAGGCCGTTCTTTGCAGGAAAGGCCATCTCAAAATGAATAATTGTGGGTGTTTCTTTTAAATGCAGGGACATTAAAATTTAACAAACATCATTGGGTAGCATCCATGCAAAGGTTCTAAAAACCAAACATTGACCCCTGACAGGATGATTGGAAGGCAACTGCCCAGCTATTGATAATTCAAAAGGAAAAGGGACTGGAAGTAAAATTGCAGACATGGTACTCTGTAAAGCAGCCTTCCAAAAATCTTCTGATTTTAGAGCTCCCATAATCCTTAGCCAGGACAACTATTGGTTACCCTCTGCTGCCCTACCTCCAGAGTATTATATACAAAGGTGTAAAAATAGGCAATCCACTCAAACAGAGCTGGGTCTTTCCTTATGAGAAGGGAAAAGTCAGAACTAGTCTTGATTTCATATGGATGCTGTAGAGAATATGGTTGAAGAGAACTCCTTCTCCTCATAATGCAAGACCTCAAGATCACCCAATGTGATTGAATAGTAACAGATCCAAGCCCCATCTGGTCCTGCTATGGAAAGTGGTTTACAGAGGACTCAACGGCTTAAACAAGGGAAGTCCTTTCTTTAGATGTGTTGGACTACAATTTCCTGCACACTCAAGCGAAGCACCCCTAGGTACACAACAGGTGTACCTGTCAGCATTGCTTCCCCATTGCAAACTGGAAATGCGGTTATGTCCAAGTACTGGGAGATCTGGGTTGGGAGGGGAGCATACATTTGAATGAAGAACTTCAAACAGATGAACCCTGGTTGGGCTTAGGAAAGCTCTTTTCAGACTTTTGTGAATGAATGGAATAAGTTGCCCAACTTTCTGATTTGTTTGGTGAAGCCAATTCGGTTCTACACTTTAATCGTGACGTCCAGCGACTGAGGTTGTATCGTTTCAATCCAAACCCATCCAGAAACTAAAATAAATTCTACCATCTCTTAAAAACCCTGCAGAAAATTGCAGCCTTGTGCCCAATATCAAGCCAACACATTTTTTTTTGACATGCATAGACAATATGGGTTCACTATCAACAGAAAGACGGTATGGAAGAAAAAAAAAGGCAGATAGATAATGCCATTGGGGCCACACACTAAAAGATTGCAATAACAAAACAAAACAAAATCTGTGGAAACCAACATGGGTATTTAAAAAGATGAATGCAGAACAGTATGGTAGAATTGAGGTGATTTGATTGAGGTGAGCCCACCTGTTACATAGGCCTACTTGTTTAATCACACAACTGCCTTCCTTCTGAATACTTATGAAATGTATGTCCCAATGGGCACTGCAATGTTAGTTATCTTTCCTAATATTTTAAGCCACCTACGTATAACTAAAAGTAATAACACGGACAGTTTAGTAGGGAAAATTCTCTTAAACCAGTTGAAAGATCTGAAGATCTAAACAGGAGATTAGTATGTGCAAGAGAGGAGAGGCCACCACTGAACTCACACACACACACACACACCTGAAAGGACAGAAGGACATCAAGCAAAGAATAGCCAGGATCTGCTCCCTACCAAAACCCATTTTAGAATCAAGCATGGCCTTAGATCTCTCTAGAGGCCAACTGGTGGATATTGACACAATTGAGTTTTGTATCATCTAGTGGAGCATGGCACAATTCAGATGCAGCAAGCAAGTCATCCTTCAACCTGGAGTCTCCGGATGTGCTAAGAATGCACACCTCAAATTCAGGCCGAGAATCCAGATTCAACCCATGACTCCAAACTGGGGAAGACAATTACAAGCTCTGTGAGTATGAATGGTGGCCAGAATGGAGAACCACCTCCTGACTGGCAGATCAGTTAAGACCAGGACTTGTCACCTGACAGTTTGGGAAGTTCAGGGGAAACAATACAAGCTGCCCACAACTTTTCAGCTGCAAACAGGCATTATGTCTTTTGTGTTCCTACCAGCTCATTCCTCCCTCCAATTCTACAATAAGTTGGTTTTAAGAAACCCCATTTCATTGATCTGCCAGAGCAATAAAGGTCTACTTCGTGTCAGGTAGCTATCACTTGGTTCCAAGATCTCTTTCAGGGTTTGGAGGCACCTGGAGAACTTCCAAAGGATTAGACCTCCTTCTCCACGTTCACATTGTGACTAGGACCTAACCAACCTGTTAACGCTCCCCATTGTTAAACCTTACTTCTTCCCCAGCAGATAATCCAGTTTGACCCCACCACATGGTACTCCTGGGGTTTTCACCTGCCTCTTCTTTTTAACTAGAGGGACAGCAGCTTTTCATTCTTACTGAAAACCAAGTGAAAACTGCTTTCAATCCACAACACACCACAGAGACAAAAGCATTTGTGAGTGTAAAGCAGCAACAACTTTCTTCTCCAAGGGATTTGTGTGTGTATGTGTGTGTTCAGCAGTGACCGCCTTCTCTAAAAACCCAGAGGATGTGTTTTGTATAACAAATGAGGTCACCAGTATTCAACAGTATATTGTCGGCTGCTGAGAAAATGTGAGATGTATATTTTTTATATATACACACCAAAAAAAAAAAGAAAGAGTGAGGTAGATAAAATGTTTGAAAAACAAAATAAAAACTGTCCCGTCATAAACTCAGAAAAAACAAAACAAACCCTTATTTCAGTATTTAAAAATGTATTATGGGGCACTTCTACAGTGATTTAAACTGAGAGCACAAAAAAATAAAATAAATAAAAAGAATCCTACATAGAATACTTTTTTCTTTTTTTTTTCTTTTCTTTTTTCTCGAAAAAAAGAGGGAAAATAGTTAACTACGGGGGAGGCGAAAAGATGGTCAGGACTGAAGCTACACAAGCAAAAAAGAAAGGAAAGAAAGAAAGCACTACAAACATAACTTTTATCTCCAGTCACAATCTAGCAGTTTATATTTTAATTCTTTGTTCTTACTCAAACACAAAACCCCCAGCCAAAATATATATATATATTTTTAAAGGAGAGGAATCAATATTTCCAACCCAGAACAAACCTTCATCTGCTGCCAGATTTTGCTTTTTTTTGGTTTAATCAGTGCTAATACAGAATTTCCATGTCGGACTACAGTTGGATTAAGCCAGTATCAACAACCTCTTGAGTTCTCCTCTTTTTCAACCAAACCCCTTGCAACAACCTTAATTCGGTTTCACCTCTTATCACCTCTCCAAAACTTCTATCCACCCCTTTTTCCTTTTTTGGGGGTGGGGGTGGGGGATGCAGAAGTGGCCAAAGACACCTGGAAATCAGAGGAAAAGTTGAGCCACCTTGCAAAATCACCACTGGCATGAAGCATGAGACGCCATGTTATTCCTAGGATGGAAAGGTTGATGCTTGGAAAGACAAGGCTGCACCCAGCCGTTCACCTAGATCGGATGTACTTCAGGATGTTGTGGTGGGCTGTGAGAGGCAACCTGCGCATGAAAGGGCCAACGGGAAGGAGGGCGAGGCAATGCCGCACTGCTAAGAACAGAAGGACATGCTAAACCAAAAATGAACTACAACAACTTTGACCCATGGACTTCAACTCCCAGAATTCCTGAGGCAGCCCTGAATGAGAATTCCATGCTGGCTCAGGAATTCTGGGAGTTGAAGTCCACAAGTCTTAAAGTTGCCAAGTTTGAAGACCTCTGCATTAAATAGTTAATTTTTTGTTTTTGTGTGTGTGTGACCTGAGTCTCCATCCTACCTCATACTGTAACAGACCTGGGTATGCGCCAAGAGATGGTTCAAAAGGGCATAATACATAACCGGGCATGAACATTGATTGGCAACGTACTTTTCCTGTCAGCCCCACAAAGCGTGCTTTAACCCAGTATAGATACATTTCAAAGCAAAAAAACCGAAAGGAGAAGACAGAAGAGGAGAGAAAGAAAGCAAAAAATACCCAAAACAAAAACAAAACCAGGAAAATATTTCAAAGGTGTTAAAACCATCGATGGCAAATCGCGAATCCAGGTACGGCGGTTCGGGAAAAGAGGTGGCAGGATGAAGGTGAAAAGGTCCAAGTTTATATATAGTACAAAGCATGAGGGAAGGAATCCATCGGAAATGGAAGGAGGGGAAGTGGGGAGCGGGGAAGTTGGGGGGGGGGGAAAGAGGGTTGACCTGAAGATTTTTTTTTCTTTTTCATAGATTAAATCCACAAAGATAAAGAACAAAAAAATAGCAGCTTTTTTTTCTGTACAGACATATAGATGAGTATCTGAACTGTAAAAAAGTTATAAAAGTGACACAAAAAGACAAATGTGTATGCAAATGAGCCATGGTCTAACATAGAACTGCAAGACCCCTTGAAGTCTTAATAATAGGGGGGGGGGAGTCATCAAAGAGTCAGAGGCCTGAATCTGGTTTAATTGCCCATTCTTCTCCTGTGTGTTTTTTTTTTTAGTGTTTCTCTAAGGTTTTTTTTTTTTTTTTCATTTAACTTTTCCCCCCCTTGCAAGCCTGCCAAAGTCCAGAAGAAACAACTCATGGCAATGCTTCCTGTTTTGTCTGTCTGCATTTCCATTCTGGGACGGCCAGGTTTTTCCCTCCTTCGTTGCTCTGATCCTCAATGCCAGTTGTATCCAGGAGGAGCGGGCAGGGTTGCTAACTCAACCCCATCCCTTATGTTCTCCACCGTGTTTCTTTTTTATTAAAAAAAAAAAAAGAGAACAGCTTTTTTCTTTTGTCCAGTCAAAAAATAATAATAATAATTTTTTTTGTTAAGCTTTTCTAAAAATGCCAGTGTACGATAGATATGGGAGTGTAATTGGTCTGTATTTTGTTTCAACGGGGCGTGTAATGAAAAAAAACCCCAAAACGAAATAAAACAAAAACAAGGAAAATCCCTAAAAGAAAATTATATCTCTCTCTCTCTCTTTTTTTTTTTTGGCAAAGTTTGGCAGCGCTGGAAAAAGTTATGACCCTTCCGTCTTTTGTGTGATCCTAGAAAGTTTTAAGGAATCATATAGTAAAAAAAAAAAACAGTCTTTTTCTCTCTCTCTCTCTTTCTCTCTCTTTTGTAACAACCCAGGCAGGGAAGGGAAGTAGGAGAGCTGATTGGCCAGTCGTTTTCTCGGATGTAAAATTTTAAGAAACAGGAAAAAAAATAGTGTCATCGAGTTGAATACAGACATGTTTCCCATCATGAAGCAGAAAGAAAGGAGAGGAGGAAAATGGAGACACACATCAGATTTCTCAAGTTTGTTTGTCTTTTTTCTGTTGCTATTAAGTGTTAATATTCAAAGTTTTTAGAAGGCGGACTGTGCCTCCTGACTTTTAAGAAGGCTGACTTTGCCCCACATGTACGGAGAGTTCTGTTGCTCGAAACGATCTCCTGCTTGCATATTGAAACAAAACAAAAAAGAGGAAAAAAAAAAAACAAGTGTCATTTCGACTACGAAATCGAAGAGTAGGATTCTCCTGTGTGCAGTTAATGACAGTTCTTGAAGATCCACTGAGGTACAGTCGGCTTTTGAATATATTGTTATTTTCTCGCTTGCGCTCTCTCTCTCTCTCTCCTTCCTCCCAGCTCAACCCCTTCAGATGCACGAGCCGCATTATTTCTGCATTTGCAAACAAAAAACAAAAAAAATCGAAAACAAAAGAAAAAAAACCCAATAACCTGTTTTCTCAAGGTCAGCAGGCTGAAGACTGGGGTAAAGGCAAGGCCCGTTCGTTCTTGCGTCCCCCGTTCATGTGGGCGTAGGACTGCCTCTCCTCAAAGCTGGCCCGGAGGACCATGACGCCTGGGCCATTCTCGGCTTTGTGTCCTGAGTGTTTGTCAGAAGGCTGGAGGGTAGAGGAAGGGTCTAAAGGAATGCTCTCCATGTTCTCTGTCTCCAGGTCAAGCTCCTCCGTGTCGGGAGGCTTGTTCTCGTCGCTGTAGAAGAAGGAGACCTCTTTGAAGGCTGGGTCCAGCTCGTCCTTGATGCTGCCAATGATCTCCAGGAAAGAAGGGCGCATCTTGGGGTTGTACTGCCAGCACATGCGCATCAGTTCGAAGCTGGGAAGAGAAGAGAGCAGACATGGTCTCATTCGAGAAGGACTTTAGCTATTGATCAGCCCAAAAAATATCCCAAAGGTGCTTTTTTTCCCAAGAGGCCACGGGACTTTCTGCTCTTTCTTTGAAGGTGTTTCGCTTCTCCATCCAAGAATCTTCTTCAGCTTCTTGAATGAGAAGCGAAACGCCTTCAAAAGAAAAAACAAGAAAGTCCCGTGGCCTCTTGAAAAAAAGCACCTTTGGGACGACGGAGATCTGGATGGCTGAGAATCTCCATAGACCTCAGGAACAGATGTTTGCTTCCAGGACACTTAAAGAGGCATTTCAAGAGACAGCATGCAAGTAGGGAAACACCTTTGCTTTGGGGTGGGGAAAGCCAAGACACGGAGTCACACCTTTAAAGACAAAAAAGGGATTGTTAAAGTTGATGTTGTGACCCACCAGTGGAGCTGGTGGCAGACTCTGACAGTGAGGAGGTTGGGGAGGAACCTGGACCAGTCATGGAGTCTGGGGAAGGCTCTGGTGATGTGTCGGAGGCAGAGAGGGGGCCAGGGCCGTCTGACAGTTATCAGCTGTCTTCAGAGTCGGAGATCAGTGGGGCAGAAGAACAGCTGGAGCCTGTTCCCAGTGTGCGCATGTGCAGAGTGGCCAGACAAGAAGGGAACAGCTAAGGAACAAGAGCCGACTCGGGAGTAAAGGCACAGGTGGATGGTGAAAGGGAATAAAGGGGAGCAAAAGGGGAGTGGAGTTTGCGGGAAACAATTAGTTCAATTCATTAGGGTGAAGGTCTGTTCCTGACTTCTTGCCAAGTAATTGCTGCTACAATGTGGCATTTGAAAGGTATCAGCCTGGCAGCTCACCAAGCCTGATAAAGGCCAGAAGTCATTTTTTTCAGTGCGGTCGTCACTTTGAATGGCCATTAAACAAACTGTTGTAAGTCGAGGACTACCTGTACAATGAAGGAATTAAAAATACACATTCCCCAATTTTTGCTTAATGCTGCCCTCCGTGTCTTAAACACAAAACCAGAGGTGGGATTCAGCCGGATTGGACCAGTTTGCTGGAACTGGTAGTGGAAATCGCGGGAGAGCCGACTCCCACGCCCCGACTGTACGCATGCGCTCACATTTGCGAACTGGTAGGGAAAGTAAGTGAATACCAACCCCGCACAAAACCAGGCTCCAGAGATGCTGGGTTTTATTTCCTCTTCCTCTTTCATTTGCAAAGGGTCAGCCGGCGCAGCTAAGCAAGAAATCTGCCCCAGATCTAACGAGCCAAGATCCATTTCACTGACTTCACACCCGTTGTTTCCCCAGCTGCCTCTTTGTCTAAAAACAACCAGCTGGGACCAAGGATGGGGATAGCGGCAGCGGCTCTTTGCCCAGCTGCCTGAAGGGAAGTGCTGAGGAGATACCACAAAGAGGCCAGCGGGACACATGTGCCAGCAAGCCCATGCGACCCTTCCTTTGAGGCCATTCCACCAGCTTGCCATAAAAGGAAGTTTCCCTCAGCTGGTGGGGGTGAGGAGGCCTTGTTGACACGGCCCTGGAAACCAAAGGCTCTTCCAGAAATGGGAGGCAGAGAGGGAGACGGTTGGTAGAGCGAGGGGAGCTACGGGATCACGAGGGAGGAATGGAAAGGCTTCTCTGACGGCACCTTCCTTTGGCACGCAGTGACGTTTGCAACCAGGAGCAACAACTCAGCTGCTGCCCTTTGAGTTCCACCCGAAAGGGCCACAACACCCCCCCCCCGTCTCTATGTCTTTCTCCCTCCCTCCCACCATCTCTCCCTGTGTCTCCCTCCCTCCCTCTGATTCTCTCTCTGTCTCCCTCTCTGTGTCTCTCCCCCTCCCCCTCTGTGTTTCTCCTTCCCTCTCCATCTTTCGGCCTCCCCCCTCTCTCTCCCTTCCTGTGTCTTTCTCCCTCTCCCCCTCTCCCTCACTCCCTCTTTTTCCTTCTCTCCCACTCTGTGTCCCTCTCTCTCTCCCTCCCTCCCTCCTGTGGGAATTCCTT